TTAAAAATGCTTCTGTAAAACTGTTTTCCAACTTTTTTAGTTAACTTTTATTTCTGCCAAAATCCTTTATTTTTGATGAGTAGGTAATATTAAAAATTAGACAATATACTGAATATACACATATTGCCAATGTATTTGTATTTACAAAATTCTCAGAAATACATTTTTAGAATACATCACACCTTGATTAAAAAATATTTCAGTAATCAGAATTCCTAAAATGCAATCTAAACTGAAAATAGTTTTTTCTTGTTTACAATTAGGCAAAAAAGCAACCTTAAATTAAATTTTGAATAAAGCTGAAAATGTTTTATTCAAAACTAGCAGCTTCGCTGCCAGCCTTCGTCTGGCTTTTAAATGAACCGGAAAAATGGCTGAAGGGAACACCAGACATTAAATTAAAAAACTGTGTAGAATTTTACTCTGCAGAACAACTTCATAAAAAAAGTTATTATGTATAACAAAATTGCAATGAAATAAGCAATATCCCTTAATACAAATATTAATTATCCTAATAAATAAATTAACCAACTTCCTTTTGCAAAATCTTAAGAACTCAAATGGTATAAAGGAGGTTAAGAACTTTGTTTCCTAAAAAATCACTCAAAACTTTTCAATATCTTAAAAACAGTGAAATGAGCAATAAATAACGTAAAAGAATACAAAAAAACAAAAACAAAAATCTGAAAAGCAAAGTAATGATATTTTATCTTATATTTTCTAGAGAAAAAAATTAGAATGAAATAAGCTATATCCCTTAATACAAATATTAATTATCCTATTAAAAAATTAATCAACTTTCCATTGAAGAAAAAAAATCATGCAAAATTTTTCAATATCTTACAAACAGTGAAATAAGAAAAAAATAACATGAAAGCAACTTAAAACCCATAAAATTCCTCGCAGAATTTTTACTCTACAAAAGAACAACTTTATCAAAAAATATCAATAAAAATGTATTATATATATATAAATATGACAATGGAATATGCCAATCTCTTAAAACAGTGACATAGAAATACGATGGAAAAATTGTTGCCAAACCCATATTTCTAATAGAATGAAACTATTCAAAATGATGCGATTTCATCAAAAATCTATCAACAACAACAAGACAGGGAAATTGTTGCCAAAATCACATTTTTAAAGATGTAAGATGTGAGAAGTGTACTCGTAAAGCTTCATTTAAAAAAATTTTAAAAAACAAAATATTATAATTTTTTCAAAATTCGTTTTGTAAAAGCAGTCTCAAGGATGAAAGTTTAATGTGTCCAAAAATCAAAGAAAGCAGTCGCAAGATAAAAGTTTAACGTGTCCAAAAATCAAGAAAAATAAACTGTACATTTTTAAAAATAAACTTTTCTAGAAAAAATTCCGTTGAAAAGGTGTTAAGCTCACTTTGTTAAATAAATTCGTATCTAATTGATTTATTGAAACACGAAATTTATTTTAAGTTTGTAAAATAGCTAAGTGCCTGCGTTTCATGACGATGTGAAAATGGAGTGTGTAGAGTAAAATCTCGCTTTCCTATAGCCCATTATGTCTCAAAGTGACGTGATTTCGTCACAAAACATAAAATAAAAAAAATTCTAATTCAAATTTGGAAAAAATCGCTTCCAGGTGCACTGACTCTTGTCTAGATGCACTTAGGTAGCAAATTTCGTAGCCGTGGGTCTATTAGCTTACGCGCTGCATGAACGAAAGACACACACAGACAGACTCTTTCTTTTATTATACGAGGCGTATTCGGAAACCGTACCGTTTTAAAAGTACCGTTTTGAAAAAAAAAAAAAAAAAAAAAAGTAAAACAATTTTTTCGAATCGAATTTTATTTTTACATGACAATACATGTCTTAAACTATTTTTCAACATAGTTTCCGCCAATGATGAAACACTTGCCATAGCAGGTGACCAGTTTTTGTATACCATCGTCAAAGAAACTTCCCAACAGTTTCGATAACGACGACTCCACAGCATTTTTCGTGTCATCATCAGATCCAAAGCGCTTGCCACCAAGCTCACGCTTCATGTGCAGGAACAAGTGATAGTCGGCGGGTGATTGAACTGCTCCCAATGAAACTGTCGAATTAACGATTGAGCGACACCAGCAGTATGGAGCCGAGCATTGTCATGGAGTAACACAATTCCTTTAATGAGCATTTCTCTTCGTTTGTTTTGAATGGCACGCTTTAGTTTTGTTAAAGTCTCACAATATCGTGCCGCATTAATGGTTTCACCTCTGGGAAGAAATTCACTTTGAACTTTTATTTTTTCGGAGAATGAGTGTGTCTCCACTCCATCAATTGTTGTTTCGATTCTGGTGTGAAATGACACACCCAAGTTTCATCACCTGTCACAATTTGGTTAAAAAAGTTTTCTCCCTCATCACTGTACCGCGTGAGAAATGTCAGGGCACTGCCAAGCCGCTTTGTTTTGTGAAGATCAGTGAGCATTTTTGGAACCCATCGGGAACACAGTTTGCGATAATTCAAGCGGTCAGACGCAATTTTGAACAAAACAGTACATGAAATTTGTGGAAATGCCTCTGAAAGAGTTGTCATTGTGAAGCGTCTGTTCTCATGAATTGCTTCATCAACTTTCCTTACCAAATCATCGGTGAGAACAGAAGGCCGACCACTCCGAGCTTCGGTGTGGACATTTATTCGACCTGCATTAAACATTCTTACCCACTTTCTCACCATTCCATCACTTATCTCATATTCAACGGAAACTTCTGTCACCTGACGATAAATTTCGGCCGGTTTAACATTCCTGGCGTTCAAAAATTTAATCACGGCACGAATCTCACAGTCAGCGGGAGAACTAATTGTCTTAAACATTTTGAATGTGCAGAGCAAACTGAAAACACAACATAGAGCAACCAAAATGGCGACAATTGAAAGTCAGTGAAAAAGAAAGACTAGTGCGCATGTGCGGGATGCCTACCATAGCGCTGCGACGGCGCTAGAATGAAACGGTACTTAGTTTCCGAATACGCTACGTATGTAGAGATTTATGCCATCTTAATGCTACTTTTTTGTTTAGTTTTAAATTTTACATAAGCAATTTTTTTCCAATTAGATTTTTCTTAGTTTCAAATTTTTTAAAAAAATTCAACATTAGAAAAGTTGCAATTTGAAATTTCTTCATGCCATTTTATTCAATTCCATGTATTTTTCAGAAGCAACAAATTCTACACACATAGATTATTTTAAAATTAAATCTAACTAAAATACAATTTATATTACTGACAAAGTATGATACCCTGCACTCTACTGATTACCCAAGCATTTTATAGAATGCTGGAAATTGGATGGCAATGTAAAAAACAATTAAACATTTCAAACATTGCCTACGCATTCTATAGAAAGCCAAATGACAAACTGAAAAAGTATGAAATACAATTCTGTTTTGTTTTGAATAACTGAAACTACCTACCACCAGTTAATAAATGATGTAAAAAAGGTCAAAATGATTACAAAGATGGAAACATGGTGCTACTGGTTGCTAAATCACAAGGATGTTATATTTGTGGAAAACAAAAGTAAATTTATTTACCCTGTTAAAGTATGCATCAGTACTATACAGTTTTATGTCATGGATACTGAGTTATTTCACATACTTCACAAAACTCATTTAGCTACTGGACGTGAAGGATGTGGCAGAATGTTAAAAGAACTTTCAACCAAATACAAAAATTTTACACGGAATAATATTGAACTGTTATCCATCTTTGTGAGCCCTGGGAGAAAAAACAAAAAGGTATTAAAAAGGGGCATTGTTATGAAACCTATGATTTTTTTCTGAATTATTTCCTGTTGTCAGGTAAATCTTATTAATTTTCAGTCTCAGCTAGACAGAGTATACAAATTTATTATGGTATACCAAGACCATCTCAGTAATTTTTTTAACATATTTTAAACAAACATTTTTAATGGCAGTCTTCCATTACTTTTTCAAAATAACATCTGAGATATGAATGTCTTTTAAATAATAGCCTTGTCATGACTTTTTTCATACTTTTCCGGTAACATATATATGTCTTCTAATCAAACAAATATAGTATATAAATAATATCCTCCATTAGCAAGTGAGTCTTTTTAGCTGTATATATTTCCTCTACAGAAATGCAATGTGTAACCCTGTGGCATGTAAACAATCTATTATGTGCCTATTAAAATTTATGTTACAAATTTATATTTTTAATATTTTTGGATGTTTACTTTGGTAACAAGTTGTCATGCAAGTTGATAAACTCATTGATCTCTCAGCTATCTCATCACTGAAAACATCGGCCACAGTGCATCACACATAGTAGACAGATAATGCAAAGAGGAGAACGACATATACAAACAAGCCTTATGCAATATTTGAATGCGTAATCTGGAGTTCCACTAGCTGTTAGCCTTTCCTAACTACTTCCATCCAGGATGACTATATAATATAGATTGTTGCTTTTCATACAACTGCAAAAATCTTGAATATTCTAAATTGTTTTTTAATTTTGCATACCAGTGAATAATGGCCACATTTTGATCTACTCGAAGAAACATTAAGATTTTCTGTAATAGCTGACATCAAGTGGATTTCATTGTAAAATAATGAATTTTTTCAGTCAAATCAATAAGTAACTGATAACTCACAAACACATATTAAAATGTAAGTGTATCATTCCTTCATTAGTGAACAGAAAAACGTTTAGCTCACAGATGTTAAAATGAAACTACTACATTATAAAATACCCTATACTTTGAAAAAACCTAGTTCTCAAACTATTTCATCTTATTTAACCACTTTATTAGCATTCTAGAGAATCACAACATCCTCTAAGATACGTTTTTACTAGGCTTCAGAATTAATAAAAGCAGCAGATGGAAATGATAAGATTTTAATGTATAATTAACATTCATACTTACTGAAAAATTAATTACATTAGGTAATTAATTAATGACTTGCAAACCTATTATGAGGTTAACTTTAGCTAACAAAATATCACAAACCTGATATGAGATGTCGTACAAGTCTCACACAAATTTCTCTCCCACTCGGTTGGTCATTGTGCACAGCACCAATAATAGCAACTTGAGGTTTGTCTTTGGCTTTTTGTACCTTGAAGGAAAATTACAAAATTTTAAAAAATTAAAAATTTGTCAATAAAACATACTGCAGGAAAGCATCAAAAATAGAAATGATAAAAAAAAAAAAAAAAAAAAAAAAAAAAATCTTTAGCAGAAACTTTTAAAACATTCATATAAAATCAAATCTCAAATTTTCTATTTCTGTGAAAGTCACAATTAATATACAATTTGCATTTCAAATGCAATAAAATGATAATTTTCCTTGCAACTACTAAGAAATTTAAATAAACATATATCAAGCAAATGGAGTTTAAAAATAGCATTTACAGCTGTGCTCTAACTTCCAATAATCTAGACTTCTTTCGTGTAAACACAACCTTTATATTTGATGTATAATCTGTCTTTTTCAAGCTACTTCTTCATTTATTAAAAAGTAAATTGTTGCTCACTTAACTGGACTTCAAAAGCATTTAGCCGAGTTTAAATATTATTGACAAACTTTATCATACAGTTTAGAGCCTCATTCAAATAAGAGCTTCTGCTCTCCAAAATAATCCAGAATGTTTATACCAGTTTTGAATACAAGATGTGGGAGAAATTGCAACATGCAAAGAGATATTAGAATTCTTGTGGAATAATCTGCAATTTCTATGCACATGAATACCTACAGAATACCTAAAGATGATACAAATAAATTACGTGAAACAAAATGAAGGCAACAGTTAACAGCTATCAACAAACTCAAAATTACATTGAAAAACAGTCCTGTTTTAAAGTAGCTACACTCTGTCTCATCTCTATTCTATATCTGTTCAATATTTAGACTCATTCTATATATTATTTAGTTTTCATACATTTTTTCTCGCTTTCAGCAAAGCTCTTTTGTAGGATCTGTGCAGTGGTTGCCTGTCCTTGGAAATTAATAGTTTACTAGAACTTCTCCAACAGAAAAGGAACATTAAATGGTTTCTAATAATGGCTGTTGGAAAAAACTTCATCCTGTTAGGTATCGAGATGAATTTTACTATCCATTTCAAACGTCTGTTCCAGCAGATCTGGAAAAAAAAAAAACTTTCTTGGGATGAAGCTGTACCTCCTGATATAAACGAGAAGTGGATGCGGTAGTGTAAAGAAGTTTTGAAACTTAAAAAGTTATGGGTTCCTATATATATATATATATACACTTGGTTCTTTTATTGATCAACATGCAGAATTGGAAATTCATACATTTTCGGATGCTAGCACTATGGCTTATGAAGCAGTTGCTTACGTTAAGTTAAAAGTTGAGAAAGAAATATTAATCAATCCTGAAACTTCAAAATCAAGAGTGGCTCCTTTAAACAAGATTACCAAGACTTGAGCTCATGGGTGCTTTACTTGCAAGATTAGCCAATTATTAAAGCCAATTATCGACAAAAAACAAATATAGAGAAATTTTTTTTGAGTTGTCATCTTATACTGGATTCAGAGCCCAAGTAAAAAATGGGAACAATTTGAATCAAACCGTGTGAAAGAGATACAAAGCTTGACAATTGAGGCTACGTGGCATCACTGTCATAGCAAAGATAACCCACCTGATTTGCTTACCATGGTGTGAGCATTGATCCTCTTATACATATTTAATTATATTATAACTTGGTGGACTGCACCTGCTTTCCTAAAGGATTTTATTCCTGAATCTCTAGAACCTAGTATCACAGAAAAGGAGTATTATAATGAACTAAAAAAAAGACTGTGATAATATTGACTCTGAAACTTTTTAGTACAATAAAGCATTTTAACTCTTTTAATTGTATTTTTATGCATATTTTACATGTTTTAAGTTTTCTTTTCAGATTCATCTATAATGCAAGAAACCTTAGCTACAAAAAATCATGGTATGTAACAGATAAATTGGAGTAAGCAGAGATTTTCTTAATCAGACAAGAACAATCTTAACCCCTTCGTGCCGACTGTCACGTATACGTGCCAGCAACGAACACACTTATCTACCGGCCGACACGCAGGTGTGCCAGAGCATTGTTGCGTTTTCTACCGAATGTCACGTATTTGTGCCACTACCTTGGAACGTTTTTCAAACTATAATTTCTGCCACAAGATGGCACTGTATGTCCATATGGTTTTAGATACATGTAGATTAGACCTTCTACTCGAAATGAGAGAAGCATGACTCACATACACGTGTTTTTGATTATATAAACAAACGGGGAACTAAATGTTTCCGAATGGCGTGATTTATGACGTCTCTTTAAATCACACTTTATTCGCACGTGGTAGTTGTTTATTGTAAGTAGAAGTTTTATATGCGCTAGAGCGTTGAGTATTTCGGTTTACAGTTCAGTTTTTAGAAAATAATTAGATCTTGTTAGACGTGAATTCTTTCTGTTTTTACCGTTTCAATGTCGAAGCGTCCAAAATGTTTAACAGAGCATGAAATAGCAGAAATGATGCAAAATATTTCAGATACTGATTCTGAAATTCTGATATTGATTTTGAAAGATTAACTGAAAGACATTTTCCAAAACTTTGTTCAGAAGAGACTGATAAGAAAATGAGACGACGATGCTTCGTTTGTTCACATTCCCGGAAAAATCCTCCAAAACGGCAAATGAGTTATTACGAGTTCAAGGAATGTAACGTAGGACTGTGTGTAGATCCCTGTTTTAAAAATTTTCATACGAAAAGAGAATTTTAAGTAATATATTTAGTTTTCAGATGTATAATGTTAAAAGTCATAAAATGGTGAGTAATTAAAATAAAATGTGTAAAATGTGCATTTAAACAAGAAATAAGGTAATTAAAGTACATATATAAAAAATATTTATAAAGCCGTTTAAATACTCTATAGAGCATTATTAAACAATGCATTGATACTTCGGAGATTTCATGGATTTAGGCTTAGTAGCAAAAAAGCCCCCGGCCCTGGAGAGATGCTCACGGAAGGCACGCGTTTTCGCTACCCGGCTTGAAGGGGTTCAGAATGTTTTGCAAGGGGTGAAAAAGTTTATCTAAGGATGAAACAGTAGCCCCCAATAGTAAACTAAAACGTTTAGCCCCTTTTACTGATAATCATTCTATTATTAGAGTTTCTGGTTGCCTGTAAAATTCCAATCTTGAGTTCTGTAAAAAACATCTTGTGGTGCTTCAACCAAAAAAAAAAACATATATCAGATCTAATTGTATTTTCACAAGAAATACTTTCATGTGGGACTACAAATTTTATTATATTTTGTGAAAGAGAAATATTGGCCCTTAAATGGGGAAAATATTTGTAGAAAAATTTGCCATCAATGTGTTGTTTGTTTTACGGCAATTCCTTCTACTTCAGCTCAACTAATGGGAAAACAGCCATCTGAGCGAGTTAATGAAACTTTTGCCTTTAATGATACAGGCAACAATTTTTTGTGGATCCTCTCTTACAAAAAAAAAAAAAAAAAAAAAAAGTGTAAAGGTGTATTCAACAAGGTTTCCGTAGCTATATTTGTTTGCCTCGCAACCTGTGCAATTTATTTGGAAGTTTTAACAGATCTAATGACACAAACTTTCATTTCTTGTCTTAAAAGTTCCCCCCCCCTTTGAAGAGGTAAAACTAGAAAACTTTTTAAAGATAACACACATTCATTCATAGGTGCGACAGCAGAGTAGAGATTGTTTAACATGATTAATTCACCTTGATGAACTTCTTGCAAGATATTTATCTTCCAAAGGTGCTGACTGGAAGTTCATCCCTCTCAAGGTGTCCAATTTTGATGGTCTTTGGGAGGATGGTATTAAATAATTTAAATACGCTTTGAAACATGTCATGGGAAATACTAATTTAAGTACAGAGGAGTTTTTAACAATTGTTATATGAACTGAAAAGTATTTGAATTCATGCCCCATTTCTCCTATGTCTTCCAATCCTAATGATTATACACTTTTGTCCCCCGGACACTTCTTGATTGGTAGAGAAATCATGTCTATACCTGAGCCTAAGTTAACATGTATACCCCAAAACAAACTTTCACAGTGGCAAAAAATAACTAATTAAGTTGCTATTGTATATTGCTAATTATGTTCAAAATACACTCACTTCCAAAAGTTAAGCACGGAGATGTAAAATGCAAAAAAATCAACAAATACTCCTTTAATTGACACAAAATTCGGCAGGAAAGTAGCATATATATTTATGCATAAAACAAAATCAATAATTATATACAGAAATGAAAACAATATTAAATTTTTGTAAGTTATCAGATAATGACATACTGGACACTTAAACAGAATTATGTATAAAATGAAAATAAACAGCATAAAATGAAACAAAAAAAAAGGACATTAATAGGGTATGTGATCCCCCCCATCTGTATACAAAGTTTAAACCTTGTGACCATGTTTTCAATTAGGTGGTCAACCACTGCAGAATTAAGCAATCGCCATTCTTCTTGTGGACCAGTTTCCAACTCAATAACAGTGGCTGGAGGTGGGAAACGTGAAGATACAGCACGGCCAAGAGCATCCCAAAGATTTTCAATGGGATTAAGGTCGGGCGAATATGCTGGCCACGCCATACGTGCAATCCCTTCACTTTCCAGGTAGTCATCGATGATGTCAGCTCTATGGTGACGTGCCTTATCGTCCATTAAAACAAAAGTAGGGCCAAGTGCTGCAGCTTACAATCTCACAATGGGTTATAGAACTTCATCTCAATACCGGACAGCCATCAAAGAACCCCATTTAAAGATCTGCAGGTCGTGCAGTATCCTAATGAAATCCCTGCCCAAACAACCATAATGCTTCCGCCTCGGAATGCATGATGTTTGGTGATGTTTTGGGACTGATTGTGTGTTCATTGTTTACACCATATCCTTATATGCTTGTCATCTGGCTCTAGAGCAAATCTTGACTCATCAGTAAACATGACATTGCTCCAGTCAGACACATTCCAATTGACATGTTCCCAGCATCACTGTAATCGTGCTCCTCTTGATTGGGTGGATAGAGGAACACAAACTCCAGGTACTCGGGCATACAGTCCACTCATATGTAATC